TTACGACGGTCAGTTCATTTTGGAAAGTTTGATCTCAAGTAACAAGGCAGCTCCTGAAATATGTTTGGATGAAACGAAACTCATTTTCATGAAGCACAACAATGTCCGACTTTTGGATTCATTGAAGTACTTAACTATGAGCCTTAGTGCAGTTGGGAAAACCTTCCATGTGGACTCGTTGAAAGGAGATTTCCTAATTCTCTTCATTAAACCAGAAAACTATAAGTATGTTGGACCTCTCCCGAATGATGGCCTCGAAAATAAATCTCTGGTTGCAAAGAAACAAATCATCGAGTTTCTACAAAAGGAGAGAAAGGCGAACAAAGTTTTCAACTTCATGGATGATATTTTCAACTACTGTTTTAATGATGTTTACATGCTATCGGTAGGAATGTCCACCTTTGAGAAGGCTTTTGAAAGTATGACCAACGTTTGTCTGCTAGAGGAAACTTTTTTTCCAAGTTTATTTTTCTATAACCATTTATTTTTCTTACAGGAGACCACTACAGCTGCTTCCGCCGCAGCCCTCGTTTTCCACCGAAATCACCTTGATCCTGAAAAACCTGTTGTATCAGATGCCAAGACATCGGTTTCTATCAACAACTCAGTGATGAGCCAGAAGTATCTGGCGCGGATTGGTTCTACCGAAAATGTTCAAATCAACATAAGCACTATATATGTGGAGGAAAAAGTAGTCAACCACAGAGTTGATGGATTTATTCCTCCTTGCGAAAAAGAAAAGCAAGAATATTGGATGTTTTGTAAGTGAAAATATTCAAACATGAAGAAGAGAAAAAGATAAATTTTTCAGCTCATGTACGCACGTAACAATAGGGGAGTTGCAGGGGACTTGGGACGCGCCCTTCAGCGTGAATCAGCTCTCCAAGAAAAAGTGAGTTATAATACTAAAAAACTCCGTTATAATAGAGAATAAGCACGCTAAGTTCCGATAGAATAAGCCCTCTAAGCTCCTGTTAAAAAAAAACATATTTCAGCTGCAGTAGAAGTAACGACGTCGACTTCAAGAATGATGATCGGCATCGACCCCCTGTTAATTACCAATTATGTTGTGTTGATTTCTTTTTTTTTTAATTTTTTATAAAAAAATTTTCTCCAAGAAGGGTAGATTTCCCAACATACTAACGGACATATTGAATAAACAAACATGTCCAGCCCTTGAATGAAACGGAAAAATAATTATTTTGAAGAGGACTAAGAAAAGTTAGTCTGCGTCTACCTTTACAGTTTTTCAACTTTAACTATCTCTAGTTTTCGAGAAATTCGTCGTTCAGTGCAAATTTTCAATATGACTGAGTTTTCACAGCATCTGGCCATGGTCGTGAACGCAGCCAAGAATGGGAGATACGTAAACTTTGTATCTGACGCGCACGTGAAGGTAGACTTGAGTAAATGTAATCGAGCATGTAATATGGAAATTTGCAAAAATATAAAATAGTCTATTAAAGTAATGTTTTAATGAGAAAACAACGAAAATGTGCAAAAATAGCAATTTTTATAGAAATCACGCAAGAATGAAGGATGTAACCATTAACCCTATCGAGTTGTATTCTAAGCTCCGCCCCCTTCTGGTGTTTGATGTAAATACCCCATCCTAGTTACATTCGATATAAACACCCCGCCCTAGTTACATCCGATGTTCAGAATGACCCCCATAATTCTCTAGTAGATACGGCAACTCAAATTGGTTGGAACTTAAATTCTCAAAACTTTTGACTGTAATAAAATTTTCCTAAATGTATAAATCTTTTCCAAACTCTGATGTGTGCAAACAATCGTCTTGCACAATGCATAGATGAATTGGCTAAAGTGCATTCAATGAGTTGCTTTCTGGTTAACAAAATCATTTTTGAAATTAAATCTTTCAGGTGCGGTTAGACGAAGGCCGTTATCTAAGACATCAAGTGGCCGATCTTCAACAATAAGTGAAAGGACGGAGAGTTGAACACGATAAGGAGTCAGCTTGACGAGCAATTTCTATTAATTGAGAACCTGAAGATGATTTAAGTGAAATGATTCAAGTGAGATGCTTTAGATTAGTATATAGATTTTAATATCAAAATACTTACTGCTATGTTGACGTTTTGTTGTGCATCCATCGTGAGTGGTGTGGCGTTAGGGTATCCTTTACGGTCTGAAATTAAAAAATAATCTCAGGAAGAAATTCGAGAGTAGCAGAGGTTGGAAAAAGGGAGAAATTCGAGAGTAACGAAGGGTGGAAAAAATCATAAAAATGATTTCTGAGAATGTTAAGTTTTGAAAAAAGTTGGACTTTACGGACCGCCCCTTTTCTACAAAAATGATTCACATTTGTCGGAGAAGTGACAAAGAAAGCTTCGTAAGAACGTCGACGATCCTGTGACTTCTGTTTCTCGTGTTTCTTTTTCAAAAATGAAAAAAATTGCGCGCGTACGCATGCGATAATAATGAAACAGATTTCCAATTTAAAATTACTAAGATGGACTTACCAGGCTGACGAGTGAAACCTCGCCCAATGCTACAACCAGCCGATGGTTTCTAGCGTGTGCTGCCTGAAAATTTTTTTAAAACTACATTTGTATCATGGTACACAACAGAAAAAAGTTTGGTGTTCTAGCTAAATGAAAAAAAACTTACATTCAGTTCGCTTTGAAGATTATCGAGCTGGGCAATGAGAGCGGATTGCGCCATCTACAATTAAAAAAGCGATAAAAAACTGAAATTTTAAGAAAAATAATTTCACGGAAACCTAGATTGCGTAAGACCTTCTACGGAATTATAGAGTGTCTTACAATCTTAACACGCCCACAACTCTTGGAATTTTTTCTCTCTCTCTTTTAGCGGTTTTTGCCTTTTTCAGTGTTTCACATCTTCTTGACAAAACGTTTTTTTCACAGAAAAGTCTAGTTCCTCAAAAAACTTACTATTTGGCAATTATAATATATCAAATGGGTTGCAAAATTAAAGGAAACTGCACTGATCTCTCATCGCTTCGACATTAAAAAGAATTCTGAAAATTGAAGTTCTACTAACAACAATTGACAATATCAACTCACCAAGAAAATAAAAAGAACCCGTCCAACAATCACAAGTTAGACCATAAGAAGTTGGAGAATAAATGATTGTGGCTGCTGCTGAATAGGCAAGGGAGAAAGGGGCGTGAACAACAAAAGCCGGATGACGAATTTTTTCTTCCTTAACCCATTGTGTAGTGTGACAATCGGAACAAAGAAAAAACACCTCGTACTTAACTGCAAGCACAAGACGGAGGGGGACGCGGCGTCTTTTGGTCAGCTTTGCAAAAGTGACGTCTCAATTGTCCAGTAAACGATGTCCTGGTTGTTCACTTCCGTCAACAAGAAGAATCCCTCGCTGGTTCGAAAACTAGTGCCGTTCATCTCGTTGCATACACTACAGCATATGCTCGTCTGAGACTTTATTGCCTCATGTTGGTCCTGAAAACATTATGTACATTGGTAATAATTTTTTAATTTTGTAGAAATTACCGATTTTTATTTTCAGACACTGACTCCTTCATCTCGACAGTTCCAGAGGGTGGAGAAGATCGAGAGAGAGAGGGAGAGTTTGGAGAAACGTTAGGCCAACTGACCAACGAGTTAGACGGTGTGATGACCGGATTCGCCACTACTGGTACAAAAACCTATTCATATGTGGGTACATTGCCTGACGGAAAAACAAAATTTGTGACCAAAGCTAAAGGAATCGGCTCTGTTCGGAAATCACGGGTCAAAAGAAAAATGAACGGGTCGAAAAAAAATGAATGGGTCAAATAAAAAAATGAACGGGTCAAATAAAAAAAATGAACGGGTCAAATAAAAAAATGAACGGGTCAAATAAAAAAAAGAACGGGTCAATCAATTAATAGATCCTGACTTCAAGAAAAAACAAGAGCTCTTATCCGAAACCCGGGCATTTATTTTTTTCGGGACCCATGGAAATACCAGGGACTTTTGAAAATACCCGGAGCCCTTGCAAATATCCGGGACTGTTATATTGGATAAGGGTCTTGCCGGAATACCCGGAATCATGAAATATGCGGGACCCAAAATATCTTTTACGGGACCTGAAAAATGTTTTCCGGGATTCAACCTACTCGATTTTTTGTTTTAGAAAACTTTTTTGTTATGTTTCCTGAGCCTGTTTTGATGGTGTGCCAACACATTGAACCTTCGAAAGCTTAAAACACCACTATTGAACCAGGCTTAGGAAACACACAGCCCAGGCGGAATCATTTGAGTCTATCCCGATGATTCGTGCATTCCGTATACGCAAATCAGTTCTTGTAGTCAGGATCTATTAGTTGATTGACCCGTTCGTTTTTTTATTCGACCCGTTCATTTTTTTATTCCACCCGTTCATTTTTTTATTTGACCCGTCCATTTTTTTTTCGACCCGTTCATTTTTCATTTGACCCGTGATTTCCGAACAGAGCCAAGGAATCACCATCAACTCCCAAGTTAGAAAGAAAATCAATTTTGAGAAGATGCAGGCTTTGGTGAATGACATTCTGAATGAAGTTACTCCTTGTACTATCCTCAGCCTAACACATCACATGATGCGCCGAGAAAAGATGTCGTCCTCCAATGCATTCTTATTATTGTTGTTTTCTTATTCTTTTGTATTTTGTTGTTGTTTTCCTTTAATTCTTTTTGTTGCTTTTGAATTGAAAAAACCGCAATCTTAACCTTTCAAACGGGTGGTGGAACTTTCAAACGTGGTGGTGGTACGGGTGTGCCTATTGCAGGCAACATTTCTGTTACAGGTGTTGGTGCTGGGGCTGGTGTTGGAGTTGGTGGTTTTTTCTCTTCTTCTTCTTCTTGTGTGAAATGTCCGCGTAAACGGTTGTTGACAACATTAGAAAGGTTTTTTGGTGGGAATCCTTGGTTAGTGCAGTCGCGTTTTTTTTTATACATGAAGGTACTGGAGATCTCCTCCTTATTTTGACCAGGAATAATTTTTTTGCAGAATAGGTTAGCAAGAAAAAATAGAAAAATTGAACCCGCGTCGCCAGAAAATCAGTCTGATGCACTACCACTGTGCTACACTACCACTGTGGCTACTGTGCTATTTCTTCTATACTTTCTTGCTACCTGTTGTGCAAAAACATCATTTCTGGTCAAAAAAAGAAGGAGATCTCCAGTCCCTTCATGTATTAAAAACATTAGAAAAACGAATATGAGCAACTTTGGAATCACTACCAATTGGTGCATTTAGCAGTTTACCGACAAGTTCATTCGGGCCCCGGGAAATTGAGTCTTGGTTGTCCTCAATGGTTAGAATAATATACTTATTGTAGGACAGGATAGTGGATGCAGCTGATATCAAAACTGGTAGCAGAATGGCTACTGGGCTTCCTCCCTGAGTATAAAAATGAACAATAAAAAGCATGAACGATAAAAAGTTTTCTTTTGGATACACTCCGGGTGGAAGAAGTGAACCTTCAAAAAGCGTAAGTCCAAGCTACAGAAAGTCGGTACATGTTGATGAATTACTCAATTTTTTCAGCCCAATTTTCAAGAGAGCGCAAACTTTCGCCATATGTGATAATTAAATTGTTTTGCATCATGGCTTTCGACAAATGTGAGTTCTTATATTAAGAGGCCCTATCTGTAAGAGGAGGAATTTCTCTGTTAGGTCTTGGCACAGTTGCAAAAAGTTTATCCGATCCAAACGAGATTTGGTGCACATGAACACCCATCGTAATGGTTTCCAAAAAAGTTGATCTCGGATCGATAATCCACCTATGTCTGAAAATATATCTGAAAATGGACTTTTCAAGTCAAAAATTCAAATTTTTTTAGTTTTTTAGTAATCTTTCTGAAATTTTCAGGGGGTGTTTTGGGTACCATTGGGCACCTCCATGCCAATTTTGGAGCTTCTAGAAGGTCGGGAAGTACCTCAAATGGGTTCAAAATTTCAGTTTTTTCACTTTTTCTCAAAAATTTTGAATACCAGGTGTCATTTTAACTATGATTTTCGGATTCCCCATGCAATTTCCCACAAAAAAGTCTCTTGGACCATACAAAAAAAACTAGACTATTTTTTGTTATAACGATTTTTTTGAAAAACACCAAAGGGTCCCCCCCATGAAAATTTTTTTTTTTCGAAAAAAATTCGAAATTTTTTTTTGTCTCAATTCTATCAAATTTACGTTTTGTGCACCAAAAATAATGCGCTCACAATTTTTTAGACGAAACGATTGCGTTTCGGCCAAGTTATACCATGAAATGTCGTCATCAATCATGAATTTGCATATTTCACAAAATTTTTCTATAGAATGGGTCTTTTCTCACATTTTTTTCGGATTCCTTATGCAATTTCTCACAAAAAAGTCTCTTGGACCACCAAAAAAAAACTAGACTATTTTTTGTTATAACGATTTTTTTGAAAAACACAAAAAAAATTTTTGTCGAAAAAATGTAAAATTATTTTTTCCTCGTTCCCACAGAGCTTG